GTTTTTCATTGTCTTGTCATGGAATTTATCTATCAAGGAAAAAAAAGAAAATAATTGTGTGTAATACTCAATTTAATTAAATCATTTTTTTAAAAGAGATTCTTAAAGTTGTGATGATATTTTATCAACTATTTATGTTCAAACGCACAGAGAGAAAAAAGAGAGCCGATTTGTTAACTTAAATTTGATTGGTTTCATATTCATGTAATTTTTTTTTTTTTTTAATTTTTTTTTCTTTTTTTGGCTATGCAGTATGTTACCCGCTATTCTCGCAAATCCTTACGGGTCCTTGGAAGTGTAGGCGAGCCTATTAATCCAAGTGCATGGAGGTTTTTAGCGCTTTTTTTTTTTTTCTCCTCTCATGCAGAAGTCCATTTTTGTATGCATGTTTCTTTAAATTCTTCTATTAACATCCTTCTGTTTCTTGCAGGTGGTTTTACAATGTAGTTGGAGACGCAAGGTGTCCTATATCTGACACTTGGTGGCAAACTGAAACTGGTGGCTTCATGGTAACTTTGTTTCTTCTATATGTTTCCTGTTGTGAGAGCATTCATTGTGCATAGTTCTAGAAGAACATATATTAATATAATTGATTTCTCATTGCTGTCTATATGCGTTGCTGCTGTAATTCAATTAACAATATTTCACCTCTGCTACCTGGCAGATTACTCCATTACCAGGTGCCTGGCCGCAGAAGCCTGGTTCTGCTACTTTTCCTTTCTTTGGGGTTCAGGTCTGAGATGCAAAACTTTTATATTCAAATATATCAGTTTTGTTCCTTCTGTTCATCTTGTTTTCACAATTCATCGTGTCTTTTGGGTGTAATTGTAGCCTGTCATAGTAGATGAGAAGGGTGTTGAGCTTGAAGGCGAGTGCAGTGGGTACCTTTGTGTGAAAAGCTCATGGCCTGGTGCATTTCGGACTCTTTATGGTGATCATGAAAGATACGAAACCACATACTTTAAGCCTTTTGCTGGATATTATTTTACTGGTGATGGCTGCCGCAGGTAATTTCTACTAATGTAAAAGAGCTCTAAGGCATGGATCCTTTCTTCTGTGAACTTCATTTAGGATTCTGATGCACCTCTCTGTTCTTAAATCCAACCCATTATTATCACGGATTGTTTCCTCTGTGCGCATGTTAATGTTTTTCTCCTCTTTGGGTTGCAAGACATGTTAAATGAGTATGATAATGATCTTACTGAGGTCTATGTTTCAGGGACAAGGATGGATACCACTGGCTCACTGGACGTGTTGATGATGTTATCAATGTTAGGTACTTTTTTGAATTTTTCTAAAGCTTTCCAGCCGTCATCCCATATAATGTATATTTAACATGCATGTGATATTATTGGATCAATTCGGCTATCATAGTTGGCTAAGTGGTTTCTACTCATTCCAGTAGACTGCGGTTTCTCTCTCAAAGAATCTTGCATATGTAAATGTCTTAGCACAAGTTTTTATGCAAATTTCCTTGACTTTGTGTGATGTCTTTAATGTGTTCAGTGGACATCGTATTGGCACGGCAGAAGTGGAATCTGCTCTAGTTTCTCATCCCCACTGTGCAGAAGCTGCTGTGGTTGGCATTGAGCATGAGGTATATTTCAACCTTCTGTAATTGATGCAAATGAGTTTTGTCCTGCATATCTAATCCAACTTGCATGTTGCCATTAGGTGAAAGGACAGGGCATATATGCATTTGTTACTCTTGTGGATGGTGTTCCTTACAGCAAAGAACTCCGGAAGAGCCTTATACTCACAGTGAGAAAGCAGGTTTGAATCTGAACCACTTATCCCCCCTAGTATGATGACTAGCTTTTGAAATGCATGAGTAGAATATTGATCAAGTTGTTAATAGAGTTGTGTGCAGTATAGATTACACATACGTATTCATCGAATGCTAAAGATTTCAAGTTTGTTCCTTGTTTCAGATTGGAGCATTCGCAGCGCCTGACAAAATCCATTGGGCCCCTGGCCTTCCGAAAACAAGAAGTGGAAAGATAATGAGGAGGATTCTGAGGAAAATCGCTTCCAGGCAGTTAGACGAGTTAGGTGACACAAGCACACTTGCAGATCCAGGTATCGTGGATCAACTAATTGCACTCGCAGATAGCTGAAGCTGCTGACTTGTACTATGGAAGCTCATCCATCGGGACGTATCGAGTATAGTTACTATACCTCACCAGAGATTATTACTTTGAGCAACCATATTTTCTTTTTCATTATACTCATCAATTCAAGCCTCATTTTGAGCCTCCTAATCCCTGTGTTCTTAAATAAATAAAACAAGTCAAGGTTCTATTGTTTTTCCATTTTCGTTATTGCTTTTTACAAAATTAGAGTTATGTTGTTTAAGGTGTCCGGGACTTGTGTTGTATTTTTATTCTGGAAAAAATAATGCTAGTAGTTATTTTATTCTTTGTGTTAAAATGCTGAATTGATTGTCATATAGGTCAAGAAAACTGGCGGGCTGGCCCCNAGGCATGGATCCTTTCTTCTGTGAACTTCATTTAGGATTCTGATGCACCTCTCTGTTCTTAAATCCAACCCATTATTATCACGGATTGTTTCCTCTGTGCGCATGTTAATGTTTTCCTCCTCTTTGGGTTGCAAGACATGTTAAATGAGTATGATAATGATCTTACTGAGGTCTATGTTTCAGGGACAAGGATGGATACCACTGGCTCACTGGACGTGTTGATGATGTTATCAATGTTAGGTACTTTTTTGAATTTTTCTAAAGCTTTCCAGCCGTCATCCCATATAATGTATATTTAACATGCACGTGATATTATTGGATCAATTCGGCTATCATAGTCGGCTAAGTGGTTTCTACTCATTCCAGTAAACAGCGGTTCTCTCTCAAAGAATCTTGCATATGTAAATATCTTAGCACAAGTTTTTATGCAAATTTCCTTGACTTTGTGTGATGTCTTTAATGTGTTCAGTGGACATCGTATTGGCACGGCAGAAGTGGAATCTGCTCTAGTTTCTCATCCCCAATGTGCAGAAGCTGCTGTCGTTGGCATTGAGCATGAGGTATATTTCAACCTTCTGTAATTGATGCAAATGAGTTTTGTCCTGCATATCTAATCCAACTTGCATGCTGCCATTAGGTGAAAGGACAGGGCATATATGCATTTGTTACTCTTGTGGATGGTGTTCCTTACAGCGAAGAACTCCGGAAGAGCCTTATACTCACAGTGAGAAAGCAGGTTTGAATCTGAACCACTTATCTCCCCTAGTATGATGACTAGCTTTTGAAATGCATTGAGTAGAATATTGATCTAGTTGTTAATAGAGTTGTGTGCAGTATAGATTACACATACGTATATATCGTATGCTAAAGATTTCAAGTTTGTTCCTTGTTTCAGATTGGAGCATTCGCAGCGCCTGACAAAATCCATTGGGCCCCTGGCCTTCCGAAAACAAGAAGTGGAAAGATAATGAGGAGGATTCTGAGGAAAATCGCTTCCAGGCAGTTAGACGAGTTAGGTGACACAAGCACACTTGCAGATCCAGGTGTCGTGGATCAACTAATTGCACTCGCAGATAGCTGAAGCTGCTGACTTGTACTATGGAAGCTCATCCATCGGGACGTATCGAGTATAGTTACTATACCTCACCGGAGATTATTACTTTGAGCAACCATATTTTCTTTTTCATTATACTCATCAATTCAAGCCTCATTTTGAACCTTCTAATCCCTGTGTTGTCAAATAAATAAAACAAGGCAAGGTTCTATTGTTTTTCCATTTTCGTTATTGCTTTTTACAAAATTAGAGTTATGTTGTTTAAGGTGTCCGGGACATGTGTTGTATTTTTATTCTGGAAAAAATAATGCTAGTAGTTATTTTATTCTTTGTGTTAAAATGCTGAATTGATTGTCATATAGGTCAAGAAAACTGGCGGGCTGGCCCCTGGTATTTCCCATCCCATTTTTAAGTCTTCGACAACCAATTTGTACCGGCTGTTTTCAACTGAAAATGGTCCAGTAAAATTTTTGCACCACAACCAATATTTTTTGTTGGCTTATAAACAATGCAGAGACAGTCAGCATTCATTTAGGAATAGAATAATGTAACAACAACTAATGCGAATATTCTATATCAAATTATGAAAACAAAAAACAAATAATATTTACATGCTTTGTGGTGCAGGAAAGGACCACCTCCCCCAGATAACATAAGGTAGTAGATCTGGCATTGTGATTGTGAGTTGAGATCTTTATGTTGGAGATACAAATTTTATATGTTTTTAATAACTAAGAATTCACTCCAACAATCCCATATGGGTAGCATTATCCCTTGTATCATGTACCAAAAACAAGTTAACAACACATCATGATCCAAATTTATGGTCGCAGTCTCAAGTCTTATTTTCAATATGATGAAATCTATCTAAACTAATGCAATTGACATCTTTGTCCAAATCTCAACCTCATATCATATAATATGAAGTAATAAATCTATTTGATTTGTTAGTTTATCATTTCACCCTTGAAAATGCAGACTTAATTCAATATACCTAAAATTATATGATACTCATCCGGGAGGGTTGCATCCTACAAATCACAAACAAGTTATAGTGAGTACGGTTTGGGAATAAAAACAGCTAGCAATGACTTGACTGAAAGAATTCATTCACACTACCAAGCAAGGAATGCCTTACCACAGTAACAGCATCAGAGAGCTCTGACAAAAATTAACAGTCATGGCACCAAAAAACTTGAGTATGCAAAAGGAAGAGTCAATTAACAAGTGCCGAAAGATGTACCAATTGAAAGGACAACAATAAAACATATACTCATGATACCACACCAATAAGATAACCAACATAGTATTTCAAGACACTAATAAGTTCATATATTATGCCATTAAAGACATAATTGCCAGGTGAAAGACAGTAACCATCACCATTTTTTTGTCTTCCCTTAACCTATCTATCTGATTAAAATGCAATAATCAAATAAACACGGATGCTGATTGAAAACAATCACATATCCAATAGACGTGTAGTTAAAATAAGCAAAATGTCAAAACAGTAAACATCTGAAATTATGTTTTGGATCTCACATGGCAATAGCAACAAAAACTCATCACAAATTGGTACATACTTCCACAATTATCCTGCATCAGCAGTAAGCATTTGTTCCTCTAATCAGAATCCTCATAAACTTCTCCATCGTCAGATAATTCATCGAATGATCTTATGTCAAGCTGGTAGCGAAGTATACCTCCAATTCCACCAAAACCTCTGCAAAATTGTGATCCCTCCTGAGATTTGTTGGTGACAAATTCAAGTGTGCAACCAAATTTTTTGTACTCATTGGCGAACCACTCGAGCAAAGACGTCTTTTCCTGAACTTCTAACTCTGCAGAAGTGGCGGCGTCTCGGTAGTTGCTCTGATCAGCTTCTTGATCCTTGTTCAAGTGCTTTATAATAATTTCACCGGTAACACTGTTTTTCAGTACATACCTATTGATATCCAGATTTTCCCACACAATAAGGATTTCTACAGCACCCATTTCCAGAGCCTTTAATGTGTCATCCACACCAAAAACGTATTTTCCAGTATCCTGGCTGATTTCCTCGAAGTATTTCCCAATCAAACGTTTCTCTTGTATGAACTTTACATTAGATAGGATTTCAGCTGATAATTCAATAGCTTGGTTAAAACCATTTTCCCCACCATATGAAACGTCAACAACGTTCAATATCTTGGCTTGCAATCGAGGATCAAACATATCTGATTGGCTCAGCTCAGTCTTGAAATCAGCTGAACCAGCAAGTATTAGCCCAGCAACATTAGGCTGACTAGTAGCGGGATTGATAAAAAACTGAGTGGCCAACTCAGCAGTCTTCCTCACATAGTTGTGACGTTTCTCCATCCGAAGACGTGCAAAACGGAGAGCTGACTGTCCTCCTCTTCCATGCTTCTTAGGTAGATCAACAGTGAATTTATGGAGCACCTCTCTTGTGTTTCCGCTTAATGTGCCAAACAGAGTGCCATTTCCATCCATGACAATAAAGCCAAACTTATCATCAGATTCTAAGAGTTCATTCAGAGCTTCAGTGTGGAACTTGTTATCACAGAGGTATAATGAGGCATTTATAGGCTTGAATGGCTCAAAATCAATTGTAACTTTCTTTTCCTTGCCATCTTCAGTAACAACTGTCCCAGTATAAAGCACAAGTCCATTTGGGGGAACCTTGTTATAAAGCTTCAACCTCTGTTGAGCAGAAGTAATAGCAGCCAAAACAGACTGACGGTTGACCCGACTCTTAATGTTTGAAGCAGTTCCAAACTCATCACCAAGCATCTTTGTGACCCGAGAAATTTGATCGCGTGGAGGCATTATAAGGGATATCATACTGGTACCGTTGCCTCTGGCAGATTCCAATGCCTTGATCAATTTTTTGATTTTCCATATCTCAATGTTTCTATCAGTATCCTGACCATCTGCCATTGTGGGTACTGACAGACACAAGCAGCATAAGTTAGTACATCTTCAAAAGTAGTCTACTCAGCAAAGTTTCACATTTCACTTCCAAGCACAGAAATAGAAAAGAGCAAAATGAAAAAGAAAGAAGAAACCAACTCTCATTTCCATCTACAATGAAGTGTAATGAAAATTGAACCCTTCACCAATGGACCCTAAAGCATGCACACCTATTGAAAACATTCAATAAACATAATAAACCAAATCAAGAGCTTCTTTCAGATTAATTGCACTAAGATGAAATGTGTACAAATGGATACAAGCACATGAAGCACCAATAAGGTAGGGAAAGGAAGCTATCCAACCACATCACCACTCCTCAGGATCCTCGAACCAACGCATAAAACCCACTAAATTCTCCAGAGTCAAATTAAGAACCTGATCTTCAGGACCACTAAAATGCCATTGATAAAAGACAATTCAACTCAAAAGCCCTTTTTCCAGAGCACATCATCAAACACTTGAGAAATGTTTATTCAAGATTGCAAGGGATAATGATCCTTATAGAACAGCATAAACTGCCAAAACTATCCAATCATTCCCTCTCAAAAGCTTCAAATTTACCCTTTAAATCTCATTCAGAGGATAATCTTGACCTCATCATTTCAAATTATTTTTAAAATAAGACAACATAGAAAAAAGGGGAAAAGATTACCTTTCAACATTAGAAATACAATATCAATACCCAATGGAAAGAAGAAGCATAAAATCAATTCAACCAAACAAAAATCCAACTAAACTCTTAACCAAAGCTTCCGTTTCAAGTAAAGTAAACTCTACATCTTTTGTTGAAGTATATATATTATATCAAATCACCAACCAACCAATCTGCCAAGGGAAGATCAAAACATAATGGACATCCACTTCACAATTGAGTCAAAGCTAGACTTAAGCTTACAGATGCCATGAGAAATAGCGTGTGTATGCGGTACAAGTACAAAAAAAAAAAACAAAAAACAAAAAAAAAAACTGATTCCGTGGAAAAAGAAGAAAATGATAAGCTGATTTAAGTTACTTAATGCTCAAGAAAATGATTAAAAGAAGTAGGGAGTTGATTTAACAGTAAATAGAAAAGAAAGAAAGAGCTAAAGCAGATAGTAAGAATTGAGTCGTAATAGTTAGAGATCGGAAAGCATACCTGTAGTGGTGATAACGGCGGCGGCAACAAGTGCTGTGTTGGTTTTCTCAGTCCCTCAAAGAACAGGAGAGGAGAGAGGAGTAGAGGATCCTAATTCGTAGGGTTACCAAATTGAAAATGTTTTTGTTTTGTCTGGACCCACAAACACTCGCCTCCTTTCTGGCTCAGTGGACTCTCTTCGTTGGCATTTTTCCTTTATTTTTCTCATGTTTTTCTTCAACGAGTGTTTTGCCTAATTACATCATTTTCAGCTTTTATAAATTACAAAATAGATGTTTAAAAAATACAATTAATACTAAAATTAAAAAATACAATTATGATTTAACACTCAAATCATCTTTTTAAAAATTTAAAGTTTTTATTTTTTTTACTTTCAAAATTAATGATAAATGCATTTTATTCTTATGTAACATTATGGAAATATACTATCAAATTCAAAAAATATAAAAAAATTAATTTCTTATTTTCTCGTCTACCAAATAATTTTTAAAAATTAGTAAAGATTATTTGAAAATGTAACATACATCAATCTATCATGTCCACCTCTTTACCACCTTTTAAGGATCCAAAAAGGCAAAAACGACTTTCTCAATCTTAATCGATTGGACAGCTGTTTCATGTTCTATTTATAGATAAATCCATTTTTCCGTATTAGTTCAAGCACATGAGCACTTTGGGCCACCAAATTATTGATAGGAACGTCCTCTACGCACCGCAAGAAAAGCATCATTCACAAGATTTTTTTTTTTTTTTTTTTTCTTTTTTCCCAAATTGTTAACTTCTATTAACCTCATAACAATGTGCCAAGTTGAGATTAAACAATAGATATCACATTCGCCAGCCCACTCCGCTCTTGCTGATATATTTGAGCTGAAAAAAATAAATATCCTAACCTGAGTTGTTGGGGTCTCTAACAAAATTGAGACATTACACTGTACAGATTTGTATGGGGACATCGCTCAAATGGGACGCCCAAAGATTGAACCAGTGTTGAAGAAGAGCAATCAATTTACAACCTAGATGAAACTGCCGTCAGCAAACAGACTATGACCCGATTGATTTTCAGCTGCAATCAAGTTAAATTCGGGGCATTGCGGTGACCATCTGCAAACTCTCTAACCAAACGCTTGAGAACTCGTCCCCCTTTCCCTTGCATGTACCCATAATTGCCCTTCCCTCCATTGCAGCTCCTGCTTTCGAGATAATCTGTGGCTGCACCAGCGAGGGCTTTTAACCAGACTGGCACCAGAGTTTCTGCTTCTCCCTGCTTTAGGTATTCAGCTGGAAGAACATGCACCTGCAGCTAATCATGTGAATAATCTATATTGAAGTTAAAAAAAAAAATAAAAAAAATAAAAAAAATACAGATGGACATGCTAGCTGGCTGTATAAAGGCCTGGGTCCTGAACTCAACTACTCTACTGAAGTTAGATTTCGATCATATGAAAAATGGTTTACCCAAACCTAGCATTTATCTTAGACACATATACATGCATGGTTAATACAAACATATAAAAAAGGGAGAGAGAAAGAGACCGCTGAATGTAGCCATCCATGCAAAGATTCCCACCCAAGAATAGCCTTCCAGGTCAATCTTTCGCTTAAAGAGCAAATTGCAGCCAATAGTTGCAGGATTGTTGCACACTTGTGAACCTATTAAGAAAGGAAGCAAAAATAAATTATGGGCTTGAATAAATTATGAATCTTTTGCTTACAAGATAATTCTAGAGATAACAATGGGTCTTAAGTTTTTCCAGAAGCACTGGTCTTCATATCTAAAAATGATCCAAGAAATCCTATATGCTTCAAAAATGGGATCATATTTCGGAGGGAGAATCTTTTTCTCGAAGATAACAAAAACTGAAACTGCAATCCTTAACCCAATTACTTTTCAGTTATTATTTAAATGCTCAATTAATACCCTGATCATGCAATGCTTTAAATTGATGTTAGAAACTTGCACACATTTACAATATTTGATGTCAACGTCCAAAACTTAAATAGTCAAAACCTAAGATAATACTATACGACCCCTCATGTATCTAACCAGTTTAAATTAAATGCTAAAGAACTGTTACATACAACACATAATTATATTTGAGATTTAAAAGATGATGTATTTACCCGTGACATTGCTGAGACACCAAGTAACGCATAAACCACATTTGATACAAGTCCCTCACCACTATGAGATATGAGCTGAATTGCCATGGCACTAAATGACCCCTCAGGAATACAAGTCATGGATCCCAACAAAGAGGCCAGGCCTTCCTCTAAGAAACCTTTAAGAAACAACAAATATTACAGTCAATAACCTTGACAGATAATGAATTTACCCGTAAATAACAAAAGACAAAAGTAGAAACCCACATTAAGTTGAGAAAAGATGGATAGAAGCACCAACTTCACAAAAAATTACATAAAATAGATGTTATTCCTAATACTTTTATGAAGTCCAGTAAACTGCATGTGTACCAAAAACACAGAAATGTAAGCTCACACATACAGCATTGTTAGGCTCTTACAACCAAAAATAGCATTTCTGTTTTAAAGAGATCACCCAGCCAGAGAAAGAGTTCTTAACTTGTTCATATGCAAACACAAAGGGCTCCATAGGACAACAAATTTGAAGCATGACCTCAAAGATTATGAAGCGTAAGTCATAAAATGGAATATTGGAGAAGAAAAAACATCTAAGTTTATGCATTGGCTAGAAACACATAAATTTTTTTAATTTATATAGACTTTCAAGCTTCAACTCCTATTCATACGTCTCACATATATTAAAGCACATTATCTTGCTGCAATGCAGTATAATTAATAATTCCTCTATCCCATTAGGAACTCTTAACATCCTATGTTTGCCTATCCCAGAAAATTTTTGTTACAGTGTTCCTTGTTGTCCGTTAAAAATATTTACGACCAAAATAAAGAACAAAACAATAATAGATTTATTTATTCCCCTTGGAAGAAGTGCAATTCAAAGAAGGAGACCGTAGGATGGAAGGGATGTATATCAGTTCCTGCTCAAAATTCAGATCTTATGATCAGGAGGGAATGCACTATACTTACAAGATAAATATGACATTGCTGCTAGTGCAGCTCCACGATGCATAGCCGTGCAGCATATAGCTGCCTTTTGGAAGGAAACTTCAAGAAGAGCACCGGATGCAGCCAATACTTCCTGAGGTATATCACATCCCAGACAAGTCATTCAGAGATATTCCACTGAAGCAGTTGAATCTAGATAATTTGGTTACTAAATACATATTTCTTAAATTATTTCTTCTAGTCTTCGAGAAAGGGATAAAATAACGATAAGGGAAACATGATTAATAATTTTATTGAAAAGTGTACTAAACCTTACGAGAGCTACGAACAAACGTGGATGCAAAATTTGTGTAGGCTTCTGCTAGATCAGGTTCTTGGTCACATATATACGAAGAATTTAGAGAAATTACTGATGCTGCTTGAGTAAATCTTTCAAAAGTGGTGACAAACAAAGATCCATACTCCTCCTTATGACCAAATTCTTCAATGACAACAGACGCTGAAAATGATTTTTGGTCAAACAAAGAATATTAGGAACGGAAAAGAAAGATACAAGACCATCGAGTATTTCCAGCAATAAAATGGCTTAATGCATACACAAGAAACATAAGAAGTTCTTCTAATATTGCTCCTTCCTATTTGTAGGATGAAATTAAAAATTTTCTAATGTGTCAATATAATATCTCAACAATAATAAAACTAATGAAAGATATTTCGACATGAAAGTTAAGATTTCTGGACATAATGGAAGGTTTGTCGATGATAATCTCACGTTCATTAACTTCATTAAATTGTTGGCATGCCTATTGATACACACTAACATTGATGTTCTCTTTTTCCACCTATAGCAATTATTACAAGTTAAACATTATACTAGCGATTTAGATAAAACCATTATATGCAACTTTTTCTTCATTCTCTCCATGCTTGGAAGGATGTGATGACATAATCATGCACCCAGTAAATCAAGTGGAAGTCTTCAAAGGCATGTGATGACTTATCAACAGCTGGGTTTAGCACAGAAGTAGGCATGGTTAGGAATGTCACATCACTTGCTGTACGATTTAAGTACAGGTTATAAATGATATAACACCCTTATCAGCAAAGAACTCATACTATACAAAGAGCTAGAAAAACTTATTTTTATTTAGAAAACAAGGAAATAGCACCGTAGAAAATGGAAAATACAAATAGTGAGCAAGCTGTACAGAAAAACTAGAGGCATCTTGTAGGTTTTCATAAATGTGTTTAAAAATTTTGTATACTGAACCTTCAATTGCAAACTATTCACTTTTCATCTTCGAATTTCATGAACATTCTCTCTTCAGAAGGCTAATATGCATTTAGTGCTATGGGAAACTCAAATCACCCAACTATTAACAAATATATCAGTTCAGGCCGCTCCACTGACAAGAGATGAACTTTAGATACTATAAAACCAAACTTTTACCTGTCCTGATATAGCATTCATGACTCTGGAATGACAGAAAATTTGTTGATAGGCAATCCAGTACTTGTGGCAGTAGCGTTAAAAAGTGCTGGCCTGCAAATTAAGCAACTTCAGGTTTGTCTATTAATTAAGTGGTCAGAAGACTTTATTACTTATCACAAAACCTGGATGAAAGACGAAATAGCACAATCTAATACCTGAGGACTGAATTGCCAACGAAAGGGCCCGGCAAGCTGCAGTTGATATATTACCATTCTCCATGTGTCCAGACCTAAAAAGTTTCTCTAACATGGGCCAAAAAACTCTCAGCAGCGCATATATAGGATTGTCTGCAGCAGAATCAGTTGGCAGAGGCACTGTAAGATGACTGAATACAGTTCCCATCCTGGAAATTAAATAATCAAACACTAAAGCTTGAGTACTAAGAGTAGAACATCAATGCAGTGAATATTTAAATCCTCAGTCAGAATTTAAATTGGAAACATAAACATGCAACACCCAACTCGATAATCAGTAGCATACCTGTAAAGCCCTCTTGTTGCAGAGCTCAAAATTTGTGTATAAGTAGCTGGATTCTGTATGAGAGACTGGTGGTTGTCTCCATCAATCTGAAAGAATATTAAGGTTTTAGTTGCAGTTTAAAACAATATA